GTTTGTGCATTACAAATAAGTATTATAATCCTGTAATTACAGAACTCGCATTAGTTTGTGCATTACAAATAAGTATTATAATCCGGTAATTACAGAACTGGCATTAGTTTGTGCATTACAAACAAGTATTATAATCCTGTAATTACAGAACTGGCATTAGTTTGTACATTACAAATAAGTTATATAATCCTGTAATTACAGAACTGGCATTAGTTTGTGCATTACAAACAAGTATTATAATCCGGTAATTACAGAACTCGCATTAGTTTGTATGCTTTTTGCCATTATGAAAACGTTTGCTATGGTTTTATAACAATTCAATAAACTAAACATTGGAGATGTTAAATTCGGATGTTTTGAATATAACATCTTAAGCACATTGGCTAACTTTTTTTTTTGGTTTCGGGCATTACTGCCAATGATACATTCGTAAGGTTTAATCTAAATTAACTATTTAATATCTTGCTGTCATAACGGGATCAAAACTTATACTTTTTTAAAACATCACTTTCCACGTGACGCCAGCAAGTAATAATCTCATAAGTCAATAACAATGCTGTCCATAGGTTATGGCTTTGTTTACACTATCATTGTTAATTAGGGCAATGCTTATGTCCCAGATTATTCAAACCACCAACCTTTTTAAACTACTATGATTTGAGATTAGATGAAATTCGGTTACCTTTGTGAAACTAGCATATTATCATAGTAATAAAATAATGTGTTTTTTGTTTTTTGGGCTATTTATAAGCGACATAAGCTCCTCCACGTCTATCAATTTACAGGCTAGAAACCAAAACATCGCTAATGTTTAGTATTTTGTATCTAACGTTCGTAAGAACGTAAAACAATCCAGATGATATAATAACACAGAAGATGGGGATCAAACAAATAGGGTTATAAATTGGAATTATATATACACACACATAAGATTGAAACCTACTTAGCTTTATTAGAAATAACACTGTTAATATTTATGTTATTCAATATTTACTAAAGTAGGAACTCTGTCGTTATAGAGCATTATATTAACGTTTCTATGTTCTCTAAGTGCGAAATCAAAATTGATTTTTATACTATTTAAAACCTATTTAGCTTTATTAGAAATAACACTGTTAATATTTATGTTATTCAATATTTACTAAAGTAAATTAACTGTCGTTATAGAGCATTATATTAACGTTTCTATGTTCTCTAAGTGCGAAATCAAAATTGATTTTTATATCATTTAAAACCTATTAAAAGTAGTTTTTAAATTAAAAAGCCAAGACGGATAGTTACATTCATAAATATTATGTATTCGTGTAACATATAACATATATAATCTTATAAACAAAGTTAACATTAGTTCCTCTAGTTTTTCACAGGTGGCATGATATATTTATTCGTTTCTGCAATTGTTATAAAAACGTTTTTGATATGGAGTAGTTTTCTTTTTATATACACGTCTTTGTAGTCTTTCATCTAAATATAACTTCAAGTTGCTCATCTACATAACCTTCCATTGGTTGACAGTCTCTATTACCCAGCTGGGTTTAAGAAAATAGACACTGCTGGAAACTCCAGTTTTCCATTGAACTTGGTATGGGATTCGTTACATAAGGTGAGTCTACATCCTATCACATCACATTGCAGTGGTATCTTTTTTTCCAAATGAAGTTTTCACCTAACAAAAGTCATATAAGTTTGGCTAAGGTTACAATCTAAAGCTGAGTGAGATGCATTGAACTTGGTATGGGATTCGTTACATAAGGTGAGTCTACATCCTATCACATCACATTGCAGTGGTATCTTTTTTCCAAATGAAGTTTTCACCTAACAAAAGTCATATAAGTTTGGCTAAGGGTACAATCTAAAGCTGAGTGAGATGCAAATTTAGTTCGGATTGAAGTATAGAGAAACTTTATTAAACGAACGGCATTTGTTTTATAAGTACTGATATCAATAAACTAGTTATATTCCACCAAACTTCAATATTTTTAAAGCTGGTTGTCTATCATTATAAGCTCCAGAGGGACTCACCATCAGCAGGTTGAGAGGATTGAATATCAAGTAAATAGGTGACGCATCAGAAGAGAAAAGAGGCCTGTTAATATTGAAGTCGGAAAAAGCTAACACAAATTTGGAAATCCGATGCGTAAGAGGAGCGTAAAGATGAAAGTTTAATAGCTTAAAACGTTGTCCACCATTCCAATCACTTTAAATATTTTATGTAGCCTCAAAAAGCAAACAATTATTTTATTTATTTTAGGGTTACTCGCTGCTTTTCCTTCTTTTTTTTATTTCTGAAGAGAGGTATATATATATATCCTACTATAAATGACAAAACTAAATATTTTATAAACTATGAGTCAATAAATTATCATTTACATTTCAGAACTATATTTCTTTCATTAGATTCTGGAGAATTTTTTAGCAGTTTTTAAAACATGTTACCTTCCATAATAGTTCTTGATCTGTCTGAAGTATTATCTAAGTAATTTGTCTCATCAATTATGTAAAATTGAAGATATGAACTGAGAAAAGTGGTTACGTTACTGTCTCTATTGTTAAAACGAGGCTGGTTGGGATAATAAAAGGATTAACCAGCCAATCTTTGAACACCCACAATTATTTCCATATTTATTTTAATAACTCTGGTTAGTAAATCACTCAAAACATTTAATTGGGTATTTTACCTTCTGATTATTTGGTGAATCGCAGAAAACATTCCGTTTTAAGGTAATTTCATTTCATCAAAAATATCTAATTTTTTAACTTAAGACATAAATTCAACTTTTAGATCGAGTTATCGTGGGTAATTATGTACACTCGTTTTTCCTTTAAAAGGTTTCAAATTACGGTTTCCAGCGCGAGACTTAACTTTTCGAATACTCGCCACATTTGTAGTTTCAAATCAAATCATCATAACATTAGTAACATTTTCAATATCATTTGTACATCTAGGAATAATGACAAAAGAAATGTAAATATTATATCCTGTTATGTTTAACCCTGTCAGCCTTGTTGGTTTCACTTTTATAGGGATTGATACTAAAAGCAACCCTAATGGGAGGGTGATCATTGTCCACGTCATCACCTATCTCAAGACAATTGATTAAGTTAGTAATGTTTGAAGAATATTAACAGTGGCTAAGAAGATCATTAGAGCCAGTTGCTACATGTGCATTACCACTAAGAGTGTTGTACGGACACCCAGAGGCAAGCTCAACAAGGTCTTCTGTCCCTTCTGGTTACTCCAAGCGCAATCCATTGGCTGTGGTTCCCCTAAATAGTATGTAGCTGATATGAAGGAGAAAGGGAGAGGTCGGAATTAAATCCTATAAGCTAGTATTTCTAGCAGCGTCCTGAAAGGATATTTAAATTAAATATTGTTCGTAATGTTTCAGTATTAACTTTGCTCTACACTGCCATTAAAGAGCTATCAAAAGCGTTTAACACAATTAGGGAATGAAAGAAAAGTTAAGAAAAGGCAAGAGAAGAAATAGAGCAAAAGAAGACATAGGAAGCACAATAGGAAACATAAGTGGGAAGTAGAGTTGTAGAGAAATAGGGAGTGGGAAGTAAAGTTATAGAGAAATAGGGAGTTGGAAGTAGATTTGTAGAGAAATAGGGAGTGGGAAGTAGATTTGTAGAGAACTAGGGAGTGGGAAGTAGACTTGTAGAGAAATGGGGAGTGGGAAGTAGACTTGTAGAGAAATAGGGAGTGGGAAGTAGATTTGTAGAGAAATGGGGAGTGGGAAGTAGACTTGTAGAGAAATAGGGAGTGGGAAGTAGATTTGTAGAGAAATGGAGAGTGGGAAGTAGACTTGTAGAGAAATGGGGAGTGGGAAATAGATTTGTAGAAAAATAGGGAGTGGGAAGTAGACTTGTAGAGAAATAGGGAGTGGGAAGTAGAGTTGTAGAGAAATAGGGAGTGGGATACTAACGAAAGATGGAGCAGTAGCAAAATAAGCGACCAGTGAAAAACAAAATACAAAGAAACAAAGAAGGAAGAAGAAGAACAAGGATCATTATGAGACGGGGGGAAGAAAAACTGACAAGGAAAGAAGAAGAGATGGCGTTGTATTTAAACCATTTTTTTTTACTAAGTTTTAAGTTCGACAAAGCCCTTGAATTTGGCTTTGTGTTCTTTGTTACAATCAAAACACTTTAGAGTCATGAAGTAATTAAAACAATTCTGGGTTTTATATCTATTACAATACTTAACACACTTACCGTCAAATTCGTTGGTTTCTGGAGTATGGACACATTTCTGGCACTTAAAATATTGCTTCGCACTGATTCCATTCTTATGAAGTCCTATTCTGTGTTTTGAATACCACAAAATAATATATGTTAATAAGTGTTAAGAGTGTTTCTTCCTAAACAAAACACTTTCAAAAGAGGGATGGTTTGTCAGGTTTTGTGTTAGTAGTTCTCTATATCTTACAACAATGAGTCTCTGTATATTTAGCTCCTCACTAGTTTAATGTTTTACAACATCCAGCTCAATGATTTTGATGTCAATACTGTGACGTATGGAAGATGCTCTCCAGGATCGAGGGGTGGGTCTAAAGGCTCCTGAAAGTCATGCTTGAAGAATAGGATTAAAATATTTCGTTTTTACTTTTGGAATGAGTAATTTTCCGTGTCTTTTAGCTAGTCTCTTGAGGCTTACCACATCATAGGAACACTAAAAGTTCAATTGATTTTTTTTTTCCCCAGCATTCCTGTTAAACTAAAGTAAGAAGTCTAATCATGTAGCACAAACAAATACTGTAGCCATTTTAAGGAACACTGGCGTTAGTGAATCACGAATACATTTTTTAAATTCTTTACTAAAAAGCTAAAGGTCTTGCAGTGGAAATATGTTCGTTTGTTAACAGTATATTTACATGAGATCGAAAGCTCTAAAATACAACCTATATTTTCCGTTGATTCTTCTACTTTTTCTGACAAGAAGATAATTTTTATTGAAGAGAATAACAATTTCGAAGAGATTAAACACCTCAAAAACCTTATATTGTCGAATGAACGTTTATTGTAAGCATACATTTAGGGTTAGTTATGATAACGGTTTCGTTTTCTTCCTGATACGTCACGTTTTTTTCCTGCCTACTCTCTTTCTTTTTACCCAACATCTGCTTCCATTGACTGCTAAAAATTGAGGGGAATTTTGTCTGTCTTCTCAATTTGGATCTTTCCTCTTCACATTGGTGACTGGACACGTGTTTCAGAGGAAGAATAATAGAACTGTGACTACCAGCAAGGTCCATACATTCACGCTTGTTAGTTTCAGCTTCTCGGAAAGCTCCAGAACACGATGGTTTATTAACTCTGTTGAGTGTCGATCGGCGAACCACGTTGGTTCTAGATGACCGCAAGCTGTCGTTCACATTACTGTACGCGGACCTCTGGTACACGGACTGTAAACGGACCAGCTTGCTTTTGATGCACGGACAGAAGGTCTGAAGAAAGGTTCGTCGATATTTCTGACTGAGTAAGCAGTACAAGACGAAGTTTCCAGCTGCATTGATACACACCAAAAAGTTGAAAATGTTACCTAATCCTAGAAGAAGAGCCTCTTTGTTGGTGTTAGGAGGAACTGTATGTAAGGATGTATAGACCAATATTGCTGCAGTTGGCAGCTGACAGACAAAGAATAACACAACTACGGCAATCAACATGATTGTAATTTTATTTTCTTGCTGGAGAGAGTCTCGCGACTCTCTGTGATGCGTCATGGTGTCCCGCTGTATTTTAGAAAGGTGAACCGACCTGATGAGGAAAGAATTAAATATAGCTAACAGAAAAAGTGGGATAAATATAAATAAAATTGCCGTCATGGTATAGTATACGGTCTTATAGAGATGGTTATTCCCAAAGTCCGAAAAATCCATGGTCATCATCGTTTCATTAGTCTCTACATCTGTGATTTCAATAACGGTCCACTCAAACGGAGTTGGCAAGGTTAAGAAAAAACAGATCAGGGACACAAAAACGATGACTTTCTTTGCTCTGGACTCTGTGCAGTATACTTTACCTTTGATTGGGTGACAAACTGCAATGTACCTTTCTATCGTAAACGTCACTGTTAACCAAACTGATGTGTTACTACAGGCATCTGTTAACATGATAGCGAAGGGCCGAATGTGCCAATATACAACGTAATGTGGATTCTGTATCCCTGGATAATGAGAAAGAGACAGACCAAAAACGCATATTAGATATAACATATCAAAGATAGCTAGAGCTGCTAAGTAATTATTGGTAGAGGAGCGCATGCGTCGTCTGGTCAATATCACTATCGTTATGGTATTTCCAATTAGACCAACAATAAGGATGACAGGAACCAGAACTCGCTGAATCCAGAAACGACTCTGTTCTCGAAATTCTTCGAGTTCTTTGTCTACCCCAACCACCGTTTCGGTGAAGTTTGAAACGGCAAGAATGTGATCGGCAGTGGTCCAGAATGTGTTACTGCAATTAGAAAGAAAGCAGTCTTTATTGTATGATGAACAGTTAGCATATGTAAACCGTCCATTACTCTTCGTACAGTTTGTGGGAAATAACATTTGAGAGGACATTATATGAAAATAAAATTCAGGAAGAAAAGGAACAGGTTTAGTGCGGTATCAGAAAGGAGGATTTTTTTCTTTCTTGTAGCTGTTGAAACCTGAAAAAAAAAGAAGAAATTATTAGCAGATCTATTTGAAATAATAATATAATTATTTATAATAGGAATAATACTGTATAATATTCTCAACAATCAGTCGTTAACCTTAGATAAAAAGAATTTAGAAAACAGAATTACTTTATGATTTAAAGTTAATAAGAGACCAATAATATGTTTTAAAGTTAATAGACGACTAATAATATGTTTTAAAGTTAATAAGCGACCAATAATATGATTTAAAGGTAATAAGCGACCAATAATATGTTTTTAAAGTTAATAAGCGACCAATAATATGATTTAAAGTTAATAAGCGACCAATAATATGTTTTAAAGTTAATAAGCGACCAATAATATGTTTTAAAGTTAATAAGCAACCAATAATATGATTTAAAGTTAATAAGCGACCAATAATATGTTTTAAAATTAATAAGCGACCAATAATATTTGGGAATAACAACATTGTTGATATAATTTAGTTGTAACTGAAACAAAACAGAACAGAATAATCATTTATCATACACACAAAGAATGTATAATCTAACTTGACTAAAAGTAACTAGCTTAGTTAATTATTTTTCACTAATTAAGTAATAACCAATACATTTCTATTCTTTGAATATATACATGCCGCCGTTCCTAATTTTGAACTATTGATCAGAGGGAAGTCAGCCGGTCAGCGGCCCCCTTCCACACGCACATCCACGACAAAGGATAGGCTGTCACTCTTATAACGCACTCACAGCTTAATGTGCGGAAACTTCTGACATCCAGAGCGTTACCACAAAGCCAACCCGTATTAATATGATGCATTAGCTAAGTGTTTTCTTAAGATCAAATTTAGGTTACTTCTAATAGTGACTGCTTATATTGGATAACTGATTTATATTGATAACCATAGTCTCTGCTGCAAAAATTACCAGATCATTTAAATAATAGACTTTTTTCCCCTACATATTAAGAATGGCATATAATGAAATGTATAAATGGTTGTTGTTTGTTGAATTTCGCGCAAGGCTACTCGAGGGCAAACTGTACCTACTTTTGAAGTGATCGATTAGAGTAAAAGCAGACAATCACCACTGCCAACTCGAAGGCTACTCTAACCGCATAGTAGGATTTGAATATATTTAGGAAAGCTGAAAAATATTATTAGATCTAGTAGTATCAAAACGATGCCAAAAGAAATAGTTGTCTCGAAATTTATTCAAGTTAAAATAACAATTTTAGGTTTTAAATATGTTAAACAAGACACACAAATTTAAATTCAATTACTGAAATAAGTCTGT